CGCGGCGGCGGTAACGGCCAGGGCTCCCGCCACGTCCAGCAGACGTGAGAAGAAACCGCAGCAGCCACAGCCCAGATGGGAGCCGGCCTCGGAGGCCCTCCGCCACCACAGCGGCAGCGGGCCACTCCGCAGGCCCCTCGCACCTGCCAACACCCCTCGCTAAAGCGCACGCCCTTTGACCTGGCCGGTCCCCGCTAGGACCCGTCTGAGGCCACTATCAGAATTCGAAAAGAAAAATGCAGGTGAGAGCACGCTGATCTCCAGGCAAAACAGTGGCGGCGGCATCCCCGTCCGCTGGGGATTAGCCACGTCCGGGGATTAGCAACATGGCACGTCGCTTGGCACCAAGAGGGCCAGCGACACCTGCATTCCAGACACGGAGCCACACAGCTAAGAGAAGGGCGAATTCTGCCAGGGCGTGGGCCAGCGTCTGGCTGCACTCGGCCCTCAGGAGCGGGAAGGACGGTCGCTGGGTTTGCTCCAGGCCTGGAAGCCCAGGGCCAGTGTGGCTGAGGGTGGAGGGAAGTAGGTGCCAGGTGCTTAAGGGGAGTCAGGCCACAGCAGCTCAGGAGGCTGAGGGCACTGAGCTGAAGACGAGGTGGGCACAGATGACCTGGCACAGGTGTGGCTGAAAGACGGGGCTGGAGGCGGCCCACGGGAGTAGGGTGACGGCGACAGATAAACCCACTAGGTGTGGGAGGCGGCTCCTGGATGGCTGAGTGGGCTGAGAATGTGTGGTATGAGCGTGCAGCTTTGTGAAAGTCAGTTCAAAGGAGCAGACAAACTCTTAAGAGCAAGTAGGACATGGGCAAGGGAAGGTTCTAGAAAGCACAGGGCCAGTGGGCAGCTCCCAGGGAGTCCCCCAGCAGGTACAAGAGGGTCCCCAGGGCTGTGAGAGACATGAGGGCATCGGGAGAGCCCCAGGCGGGTGAGCTGGCCACTGGCCGCCGCTGTTCCCACAGCAGGAGCAGAGGACAAGAAAGGCTGGGGGCTGCCCCATTGAGGGCTGCAGCCGTGCTTCTGGCCTGGGAAGCAGGGCAGGGGGGCTGGGAGGCAGGACTTGGTGAGGACCGGCCCCTGTGGACAGCCAAGTGGCCTCTGCAGGAGGCACAGAGGGTACCGCGCATGGAGAGGGCTCCTGGCTGAGCCTCCAGGTCACTGCAGGCGGTAGGCTGGCCGTGCTTGAATAAGAGACAGCCGGGCCCCTGGCTGAGGGCAGCAGGGTTCCCTGCTCCTCCCGCCCCAAACCCGCATGGCACTGCCCGGCACACAGCCTTCTCCCCAAGGGTCCGGACCGAGCGGCTTTACGCACGCGGCGCGGGCGGGCGTCAG